GCTACGTCGGAGCGAGGCCGTTCGACCGTAACGTCGGTAGCTACGGTGATCAACGACGTAACCGATGTGGAGAAAAGATTCGGTCATGCACTGTTCGGGCGTTTCGTCGGACGGGTGATGGCCTCCATTCCGGACGATCCTCTTTGGTGCGAAGTGGTCGGCGCTGCGGATATGTTGACCGTGCAGGAAGGCAGATTGCGGAGTGCCGAGGCGAAACGATCGACGTTGCAGAAGGAAGTGCAGAGACTGGAGGGACGACTTGTGACGAGAGGTCGAACGTCCGAATACCATCGATTGGCAGAGGAGGTGGTATCTAACGGAGCTTTGGCCGATTTGATATCGGAACTAGCCGAGGCTAGAATTCGTTTGAAAGCTGCCGACGAAACAGTCGAACAATTAAAAAATCAGATAACCGAATTGAGAATTGAATTTGAGAAAGCCGAACTAAAGTAGAACGAAAAAGAACAACGACAGAAAGAGATGCACGAACAATTAAAAATGGACATTTCATGCGAGTTTAACTTGGCAATTGCCAATCTGAAAAAAACGATCGTCGAAGAGGCGACGTTCAGTTTGAAACGGGTACTTTAGGCCAAATGCCTAACCCACCCCCAACTCGTTCCCGCTCCCATAAAAAAAAAAGAATAAAGCAATCATATCCCTCATCCCCCCATCTTCCCATTTCCCTATCTCCTCACAAAGAAAAGAGAGCAAATAAATATAGTTATACAATGAACTTTTTGTTTTTCTGATGTTCTTTTGTTTGTTTTACGAGTTGTTGTTGTTGTTGTTGACGATGATGATGATGATGATGATGATGATCGTACCAGCTCACCGAAGAAGAAGAAGAAGAAGAAGAGGGCGCCCTTTTACATAAATCCTCTATCGAAGATCAATAACTAAAAAACGAAAAACGAAAAACGAAAAAACTCAACTGTATAAAGGTGGCACTGTTCCACGTTCAACCTTCATTATAACGATCAACAATAATGGAGTCGGAACCCCTGTTAAACGAGAGCGTTGATGGTGAAAGATTAATTCTGTTTCCCATCAGGTACCCTGACATATGGAACATGTACAAAAAATCGTGCGCATGTTTTTGGTCGGTCGAGGAGGTGGACCTTTCGAAAGATATGCCCCACTGGAACGGTCTGAACGAAGACGAACGACACTTCGTTAAACACGTGCTAGCATTCTTTGCGGCCAGCGACGCAATTGTGAACGAAAACCTCGCGGAACGTTTTCTTCGAGAGGTGAAGATTCCCGAAGCCAAGTATTTCTACTATTTCCAGGTGACCATCGAGAACATCCACTCCGAAATGTACGGTCTGTTGCTTCAGACCTACGTAAGGGATAAGAACGAACGCGACAATCTCTTTCACGCCACCACCACCATACCATGCGTTAAGAAAAAAGCCGACTGGGCCATGAGATGGATCGAAAGCACGGACGCCAGTTTCGGCGAACGATTGGTCGCGTTTGCCGCCGTGGAGGGCGTGTTCTTTTCGGGTTCGTTCGCGGCCGGTTCTGGCTGAAGAAACGCGGTCTGATGCCCGGTCTCACGTTCTCCAACGAGCTGATCAGTCGCGACGAGGGACTGCATTGCGATTTCGCGTGTTTGCTATTTCAACGTCATCTCCTCAACAGACCGTCGCCCGAACGCATAACGGATATCGTCGAATAAGCGGTGACGATAGAGAAGGAGTTTATGACGGACGCGTTACCCGTCAGACTGATAGGCATGAATTCGGACAAGATGGCGCGTTACGTCGAGTTTGTTGCCGACAGACTGTTGGTGGAGTTGGAATGCGAAAAACGATGGGGCTCCGATAACCCGTTCGACTTTATGGAGAATATATCGTTGCAGGGTAAAACTAAGTTTTTCGAGAAACGCGTGAGTGAATACCGAAAGATGGGCGTTATGGACATGACGGAGAATCGAAAATTCAGTCTCGTCGAGGAATTCTGATACTACAACAACAACAACAACAACAACAAACCACCACCACCACTACCACCACACCCAGCAGGTTACGTTTATATAACGATGACGTAACAGACATTATATAAAAGGATAGGACTTGCTAATTTGGGAGAACAAGAACGAATTTATTTACAAAAATAAAAAGAAACTAAAAAAAAACAAAAACATGTATATGCTATTGATTCTATTGTATTGTGTTTTTCGAACGAATTCAGCGCGAATTCCTACTCGAAAACCCGGTTTCCTCTCGCCTTCGTGTAACGAAGGACGCGGAATTCGGGTTTCTCTGTTGGCTTCGTCCTATCCTTCAACACTGGCCCCAAAAAGTGTCGTCTTCATATCTCAAATCAATTTGTTAAAATAATTTTTTTGAAATTTGCGAGGTCCAAAAGTCACGGAACCTAGCCTATCCACGAAGCTCATCTAGGCTTCGTTCGATCGATTCCCTCTCCCAAGGTTAAGAGATAGGAGTCATCGAATTCCAACTCGATAACCCGGTTTCCTCTCGCCTTCGTGTAACGAAGGACGCGGAATTCGGGTTTCTCGGTTGGCTTCGAAGGGTCCTATACTTCAACACTGGCCCCAAAAAGTGTCGTCTTCATATCTCAAATCAATTTGTAAAAAATTTTTTTTTCATCTCTGCGAGGTCCAAAAGTCACGGAACCTAGCCCACCCACGAAGCTCACCCTGTCTTCGTTCGATCGATTCCCTCCCCCAACGTTAAGAGATACGAGTCATCGAATTCCAACTCGATAACCCGGTTTCCTCTCGCCTTCGTGTAACGAAAGATTTGGAATTCGGGTTTCTCGGTTGGCTTCGCAAGGTCCTATCCTTCAACACTGGCCCCAAAAAGTGTCGTCCTCATATCTCAAATCAATTTGTAAAAAATTTTTTTTTTCATCTCTGCGAGGTACAAAAGTCACGGAACCTAGCCCACCCACGAAACCCACATAGGCTTCGTTCGATCTCATAACGTTAAGAGATAAGTCATCGAATTCCAACTCGATAACCCGGTTTCCTCTCGCCTTCGTGTAACGAAAGACGCGGAATTCGGGTTTCTCGGTTGGCTTCGAAGGGTCCTATCCTTCAACACTGGTCCCAAAAAGTGTCGTCCTCATATCTCAAATCAATTTGTAAAAAATTTTTTTGAACTTTGCGAGGTCCAAAAGTCACGGAACCTAGCCCACCCACGAAGCTCACCCTGTCTTCGTTCGATCTCATAACGTTAAGAGATAGATGAGCAAGGTCCTATCCTTCAACACTGGTCCCAAAAAGTGTCGTCTTCATATCTCAAATCAATTTGTAAAAAAAAAATTTTTGAACTTTGCGAGGTCCAAAAGTCACGGAACCTAGCCTATCCACGAAGCTCACCCTGTTTTCGTTCGATCTCATAACGTTAAGAGATAGGTGAGCAAGGTCCTATCCTTCAACACTGGTCCCAAAAAGTGTCGTCCTCATATCTCAAATCAATTTGTAAAATTTTTTTTTATCTCTGCGAGGTCCGAAAGTCACGGAACCTAGCCCACCCACGAAGCACACCCTGTCTTCGTCGATTCATTCCCCAACGTTAAGAGATAGGGGTGCGCGAATTCCGACTTGAAAACCCTTTTTCCTCTCGTCTTCGTGAAACGAAAGACTCGGAATTCGGGTTTATCGGTTGGCTTCGCAAGGTCCTATCCTTCAACACTGACCCCAAAAAGTGTCGTCCTCATATCTCAATCAATTTGTAAAATTTTTTTTTTTGAACTTTGCGAGGTCCAAAAGTCACGGAATCTAGCTCACCCACGAAGCTCACCTAGGCTTCATTCGATCGAATCCCTCCCAACGTTAAGAGATACGGGTGCGCGAATTCCATCTTGAAAACCCGGTTTCCTCTCGTCTTCGTGTAACGAAAGACGCGGAATTCGGGTTTCTCGGCTGTCTTCGAATGGTCCTATCCTTCAACACTGGTCCCAAAAAGTGTCGTCCTCATATCTCAAATCAGTTTGTAATTTTTTTTTTCATCTCTGCGAGGTCCAAAAGTCACGGAACCTAGCTCACCCACGCAGCTCACCCTGTCTTCGTCGATTCATTCCCAACGTTAAGAGATAGGTGATCAGTGTCCTATCCTTCAACACTGACCCCAAAAAGTGTCGTCTTCATATCTCAATCAATTTGTAAAAAAATTTTTTTTTCATCTCTGCGAGGTCCAAAAGTCACGGAATCTAGCTCACCCACGAAGTCCACATGGGCTTCGTTCGATAACAGACAACCGAAAACGAAAAAAAAAAAAAGCACAGATATACGACTTTTCATGTTTTGTGTTTTTTTTTATTTTTTTTTTATTTTGTCTAAATTTACAAACACATCTTGTTATTCTTTTCGTGTTTAACACTTGAAAATGTTCGTATCTTTGGGAAGTACGCATCTCGTGACATGTTCCGCTATCGGTGTTCTGCACAAGTAACACTTGGTGGTGCGATGCGCGCACGCCTCGCATGCCATCATGTGTTTGCACGGTAGCATCACGATTGCGATGGGATCTTGGCGACATATCGAACACGTGTCTTCTTCCGACACTTCCCTTTCCGGTACACCGAGAATTTCCTTCATCGTCCTGGTCAATCGTCTGTTCTCTTCTCGCAATTGATTCACATTCGACATACACTTGTCGCATATGGTCATTTTTATCGCCAAAGCTATTATTTGTTCTTCGTCCGTTCCTTCAATTTTAATTTTAAACATTTCGGATAAACGTAAACAGATGCTAGCACATTGCAAGTAGAATCCCTCCACGTCACGTGTCAACCGTTCGATGCGGTCGTCCGATACACGTCTGCATAGATTCAACATCGATTTAAGTTTCTCAGCACGACGAATGATGTATTCGGTGAAGATCTCGAATTCTTTTGCCGATTTATCTATCGTCGATTTAAAGATAGATGCCATCTTCCTCGTGTCTTGAATTAATTTGACGTTATCGAAAATGTGGCGCCGGTCTGCTCCTTTCAGGCTTTCTTCGTCTCTTTATAGATTTAAATACGATAACGTCATCGATTTACATAGGTATGAGTCGATGACGTGTACAAAAAAAAATTGATGACGTTTCTGTTTTTGGCCTGCCGATGCCATCTTCCTCGTGTCTTGAATCAATCTGACGTCATCGAAAATGTGTAGCCGGTCTGCTCCTTTCAGGCTTTCTTCCTCTCTTTATAGATTTAAATACGATAACGTCATCGATTTACATAGGTATGAGTCGATGACATGTAAAAAAAAATTGTTGATGACGTTTCTGTTTTTGATGACGTTTCTGTTTTTGATGACGTTTCTGCTTTTGGCCTTTATATAAAAGGCCGAGAAGGGAAACAATCATTCAGTTTCAAGAGGAGCCCATCCCTTCAGTTTACATTCTCCTAGTCGCAGATTTGCCGGGACAGGGACCGTCCATGTCAGGTGTATCGAGTTTGATTTAACGGTTCGTCGTCGCCTTGCTGGAGAGAATGGGACGATTTTACAAATGTGCCCCGTCCGTCAGACGAGTAATGCTATTCCGTCGAATACTGCTTGCAGTCGGGGTACGAGATCAGTTTAGGCTCGATCCGATCGGAGGTCGGTATCGGGCTGCCCTTCTCGAAGGGAAGCGAAAGCGCAGACACTATTCTCTCTCGTATAGTCGGCGATGTTTTCCGTTACTGACGAGATGCAAACCGGTAATTGGACGGACCCGCCGGATGACGTCTTCCCTGCCCCCCCCCATCCACAACGCATTGTTTGTTAGGACCTTTGCAAGACTCAAGATACAACCGATCAGACTGCTCTCACGCGAGAGCCTTTTTTTTGTTGGAAGGAATGCTCTCCCGCGAGAGCTTAAAGAGATCCGTTCGTCCGGCGTTAACTTCATCGGTAAGACGGGTACTGCTATTCCGTTGAATACTGCTCGCAGTTGAGGGTCGGTCGATGGATTTTTACATGGTTTTATTTATTTATTCATTTTTTTCTTTGTGGGGGAGGGGGTCATGCATTTTTTGATTATGAATAAAAGACAAAACTCGGATATCTGTGTTGCTTTGTTTATTTCACGAACTCAACCACGTTGCGCCATCCGTGTGCAGCTGCATTGCGACAACGCCGCACGGTTTCCACATCCGATGTTTGTCGTCGTTGTCCACCAGGACGGGTGAGAACGGTACCGACTCCCTCTCCTCGACGCGTTCCACTATCCTGTCGGGCGAAGGCACCTCGCTCTCGGGTTCCATGTCGTATAAGTCATTCATCTCGGTCGGGAAGGTAGAGAACCAGACTCCGCGTCGCGTGTCCAGACCCCCGCAGACGATGGGATTCCCATCGTCGGTTACACCCACGACGTGAGGCGAAGCTAGCCATCTGCACTCGTTCTCCATCGTTTGCCAATCCACGCCCGTGTAACGGAACGATTCGTTTCCCTCGGAACCCACTACCACAAGGTCGTTGGTGTCGTCGTCGTAGAACAGGGTCGAACCTTCGGTCACTCGGTCGTTGTTTGCGACGAAGTTGCTTTCGATGCAGGCTTCCGCGTAAGAGGAATCGTCGTCGTCTCTCTGATTGTCGAATTGGTCGGTTTCCAAAGTGATTTTGACGAATCCGATATTCTTTGCCGGATTCGTCGACAGCACTTTACCGCATATGATGATCTGGATGGAATCTTTGTCGCAACGACCCAGACAGGACGAACTCCAGAACCAGCGATGAAGCGTGTTGATCTTGTACCAATTGTAAGTTTGAGTGTCGTAAACGAACGTAAGCCTTTCGGCGTCGCATCGCTGCATCGTCGCCTGCAGAAGATCCATCTGGTCCGTCGGGGATCCCCGCATATCTCGTCCGCCGACGAAAAACATTTACCTGCCGCGGGAGGCAAGCATCTGCATCCCGGTCCGTCTGAACACCTCGGGAATGTCAACCTCGTTTCTCCAGGTTACCAGTTCCTTTCTCTCCAATGAGGCGCGCGAGCAACGGCCCACCAACCAAGC